TCCTCCTCCTCCTCCTCCTCCTCCTCCTCCTCCTCAGCGATCCCAAACGACCCGATCCCGAACCGATTCTGCGACGGTCCAGGCTGGATTAGAGCCGTTTCCGATCCGATTCGATCTCGCGATTCGATCCAGCTGTTCGGGCCTGCCAGGGCTGCATGCGCCGCACGAGCGCCTGGCGCTGGGGTTCGGCACGGAGACCCCGAACCCCCCGCCCATCGGGAGTTGGGTCGAGGACCTGGCCGATGACAGTACGCGGTCACAGCCAGGCGCGGGGTTCGAGACGCCGGTGCAGACGAGGCGTGCCAGCATCGACTGCGAGCGCCTGTCGCGCAAGCTGTCGCAGCTGCAGGTCCGCAGGAGGGCCAGCCGAAGCAGCGGCGGCCATCCTTGGCCTTTTGTTTGTCTTTCCTGGGGCCTCCTGGAGGCCAATCGATGCTACGGCTGGACCCACCTCGGAAAGCGGGCCAGGATGGACCCCGAGAGAGGTCCTGGAGCTGATTTGAGGGCGACAGCACCTGGCAGCAGGCAGCGCAGCAGCAGCGGCGGGAGAAAGGGGGTGTTGAGAAGAGAGAGGGGTTCGAGGATCGAGGTTCAAGCATCGAGGTAGGGTCAATGGCATCAACATAAACTTCTGGACGTCCGCGCGAATTCCTTGGAGATCGGCGCTGGACCCCCGCGCGCCCGGGGCTCGAAAACAGCATGGCTTGGCGGATATCTTGAGCGGATCTGGCCTTGGCGGTTGAACGGCCGTCGTCTCGGCAAGGCTTGGCCCTCCTCCCTGGACGCCCGAAACGAGTACGATACCCAGCAGCGAATACGATCTAAGACCTAGCGATCGTTTTCTTATTTGTTGTTTTGCCGATCGGCGCGGGCCCTCGCACCCCCCCTTTCCACCCCCCCATGGAGTAGATCTTGGCTGTTTGGGGCGGCTGTCTCAAGCAGGTGGGGTTTCCCCCATAGGACGCACTGCTACAAACAGTCGCACTAAGCAGAGGTCCGGAGCCAGACCCTACCCCCCCTCCCGCCCCTTCCACCCAATGTCGAAACGCCAAATAAGAAAACGCTCATATACAGCAACTGCTGTTGGGCAGCGGCCTTTTGTCTCTAGTGGACAATATCTGCGGCGACACCGACAGCGGGTCCTGCTCAAGATGATCAGGACATGTTCTCGGTCTGCACACCCAGTCTTCGAGTACGGGATCGACCACAGAATTGATGTACCCGACAATTGAGATCTCCGTCGGATCTTCGAAAGAGGTGTGTATGTGTGTATATATATACATACATACATACAAGTTTTCTTATAGAAAATATACAGCAACCAAGACGTCGAATCTTCACAGATGTGCGAGCACTGCATGTTTCCCATAGGTTCGCCAACAAGATCGGGTGCAACTCAATGTTGTAGTCGATCTCCTATCCGAACTCTCTCTGTACCCGCTTCGATCGCCCCGATCCTCCGAGCAGGTGGGCTCGAACGCGGGCGCCTGGCCCAGCGCACCGCCGCCGGTGGAGCCGATGACCGTCGACTGCGCGCGGCTGTCCTGCGAGACGTCTGGTTCGCGAGCTTCCTCCGCGTGCGTCCCAATCGGAACGGTCGTCCAAGAGGAAGAAACTCACAGGAGAGACAAGCAACAACAACAAAAACTACACCGGTAACCCCCGTCTCGGTTTCGTTTTTGGGCGGCCTCCTGGGAGGCCCTCGTCGCCACTGCCGAATTCGCCTCGAGATTGTGGTCAGAACGCACCCCAGGAGAGGTCCGTCGAGTAGCGGTATCGGTACCTCCTGGGTTCGCCAGAAACAGCATAAGCATATTATACGAGGCGTTCAAAAAACGGCCTTGCCTTCGAGGATCGAAGGAGTTGGCATCTCTTCGTGGCGGAAGGTCGGCGGAAGTAAAACGAGCCGCCTCCGCTGGCGTAAGCAAAATATGCGCCCCCAAGAGATGAAAACGTTTTTGGCTTCAGGGTTGCCGAAATCGCCCACACGACTTTCGAATGTAAACGGGGGCATCTTGGATCGGAGCTGGCCCCCCCGGAGGCGCCTCGGGCGCCTCCCCTGGCGCGCTCCGCGCAGCAGGCAGCGAGGGGAGGACGGCGCCTGTCCGAGAAGTCCGCGCGGACCTCCGAAAGGTGATGCATGCCGATTCCTGGTTGCATATCCTCCTGACCGTCGTCCCCCCCAAGGTTGCCTCCTCCTCCTCCTCCTCCTTCTCCTCCTCCTCCTCCTCCTCCTCCTCCTCCTCCTCCTTCTCCTCCTCCTCCGGACCTCCCATTGATCGTTTCCAGGTCGGCCACCCCGTCAGCTTCTCAGCCCCCCGCGAGCACGCAGGCTTGCCAGGAGGCTGCAGGGACGCGGGCTTCGTTGCGCAGCGAGGGCCCCAGGAGGTCGCCCCGAGCAGCGCCAGCGTCGCCGCGGACAAGGTCGGCGGCGGCGCGCGGGAGGGGATGTCGCGAGGGGTGGGGGCGGGCTTCCAAGAAGGCAGGAGCCTCTGGGAAGCCCTCCGCCCTCTGAGAAGCCTTCTTGGAGGCCTCTGAGCCCTCACGAGAATCGGAGGCGCAAGAGGTCATACCAATGACACGTTCCAGGATGTCCAGGATGGCCTGGCATTCCTTATGCTCCACGCGGGCAGCACAAGCGAGGGCCCGCGAGGGCCCCAAGATTCTACGGAATCCCATCCTCCTCGCCCTCGCAATCCTCTCTCTCATCCTCCTTCTCGGTTGCTCTTCCTCCTGTGCGCCGGCTAGTCCTGTGACGCCAGACCCTTGGCTGGATCATTTCAGGCACACAGCTTTTCCACCGATGCTTCAGTCCGCGCTGGAGCCAATCGCATCATGACATCGTTTTCGTCCTTGAGAAATCCCGTGCCTTCTCAGAAGGCGCCCCCCCTGCCCCACTGACTACGCACCAGACCACCCCAACCCAGCCCGAAGTCCCAAATTTCGGATTAGGGGGCGTACGGCTCCCACTATTGTTTGTTCAATGCTCCAGGATGCCCCCCCACTCGGAACGGAGTGCAGCTTGGGGCATGCGGGTTGAGCTGGGGCGGTTTGGTGGGTACTGGCCCACCCCGCTGCGCGCGCCGCTGGCAAGGCCCTTACCTGGCTCTCCCCCGCGGAGCAGGCCTCGGCGGGGTCGCGGGGGCACCCCGGGTGCTGCGCGGGGCCCTGCAAGTACCGCAAGCGCAAGGGCGGCTGCCGGAACTCGAAGACGAAAGACAGCACAAACGTAAATGTTCGGAGATCCGCGCGATCTTCTTGTGGGGGGGGTGCTCAAGGCGCCCCTGGCTCCAGGTGCCCCTAGCTTGTCGCTCAATCTTAAATCCCCATGGGACCCTTTGGGCCTCGTGAGGGGTGCTCTGGAGGCCCTGGGGGCCTTCTTGGAAATTCTAAGGGGGGCACCTTGGGCCAGAGACACGCCTAGCGACACCAGATCTCTCCAGTCGGCGCTGGACCCCCTCGGGCGGCGCCTCCCGCGCCGCCCGACGCGCTCCGCGCACCGGCGGCGGGGGAGGGCCAGCGCCGGCAGGAGAAAGAGCCGCGCGGGCCTCCGGAGGCTCCGCGTCGTGTGCGTCGTTCTCGTGCTCCCCCAGGAACGGGGCGGACTGCCCGGACTGCCACGTGTGCCACTGGAGTCGCCGGCCGCTCGCGGCGAGCAGCGGCAGCCCTGCGGTGCCGGGCGGGGGCCGTGCGCTGCCGGGCTGGGAGCCGCCCGTGGCGCGGGCCGAGCCGGCATTGGCACCAGAAGACAAAACGTGAAAGGGCTCCCTCTTCCCCCAAAAATAAATCTTACATATATATATATATAAGAGAGAGAGAGAAAGAGAAAAAAAAAAAAAAATGAAAGGGCTCCCTCTTCCGAAGCAGCCAAGGACAGTCCTGAGCAAGGCAGAGTAGCACGATGCACAGCGCTGCGCGACCCCAACTTGGGGCCTCTTCCTCCCTCCAGGGCAGCTCAAGGCAGCTCTGCTCAATGCCATGCAAACCACTGTCTGACACTACCTGGCACTATGATGTTCCAACCTACTCTAGCCTTGATCACCAGAAAGAATCTCGAGCACCCAAGAAAGTACCGAAACTGGAGGGTGCTCACGCGTCGGGCCCTGGGAGACACTCGTCCGACGCTGCTCTGGCACTGGTTCGACCCTCTTTCGACACTTTTCCGGGTGCTCGACATTATTCTTGGGATGTGACCCTCGAGTACGACGGGAGCAACTCAGGAGGGAAAACAACACACAGACACAATGAATCGCCGATCCCCCAGAAAATATGCGAAAATATGGGGGATCCTTTTATTTGTGTGTATTTATGTGTGATTGCTCGGCGTCGCCTGGCACTCCAGCGGCAGCCCTGGGCACGGGCAGCCCTGCGGGCCCCGCCCCCACGGAAGGGCCCCGCACCCGCCGGCTGCTTACGCAGAAGAGTACACACTCCGGATTTCGAATTCTTCGAAGAGTTTTTAACTTTTTGGGGGGGGGGCAAGATCCTTTTATTTCTAATTCTTCTATCCTGGGCCTCTTCCTGGCCACCAGGGGGCCGGGAGCACTTGGAAGCGAGCACAAGTAGAGATGAGCACGATCAGGAATGAACGACGTGCAAGGGCCCTGTGTGGGCAAAGCCTCGCTGAGCGACGCAGAAGAACGCGCGCTCGACTGCGCCGACAGTCGCGCGTAAGCCGCCCGCGCAGGGTCGCGCGCGAGCGCCCTCGCCTCCCACGTGGCGTGCCGCGCGGGCTGCCCGCGCAGGGTTCCGCGCGTAAGGTCGCCGTGCCACGTCGCGCAGGGCCCGCGGCTTCTCGCCGCTCCGTTGGGAGGCGGCACGCAGTCGGAGCTCGACCAGCAGGTCGACCCTTCCAAATCCAGGGTGCCCTTTGTGCCCTCTGTCTCGCGACCCATGTCTACATTCCCATGGAAATGTGGCCCTCGGAAGGGTCTCGTGTCCCCTCGCGTGTCCTGTCCAATCAAGTCCGACTGCAAGTCGCCGCGCCGTATGTTCCGACGCGCGGCCCTGCGCCTTGGGCAGGGCGCCTTGGCCACCAGCGCAGATCCCGCCTCGGGCGCGGTGGGCTTGCCGTGGGTGTTGCCGCGGTGCTGGCCTCGTTTGCTGGGGCGCAGAACGCTTGGCTTGCCCTGGGTTTGCCGTGGTGTCGGCATCGTCCACTTGGGCGCGTTCATTCGGTAGCAAATCATGGGAGCCTCGTATACCGTTTGAACTCAATATTTAGCGTTGATTAGCGTCTGGGTGTCAATGAGATAGCGCCGATTTAGCGTCGGTTAGCTTCGATTCGCGTCGATGTAGCGCCAATTCGCATCGAATAGCGTCGATTGGCGTCGATTCGCATGAGCCGACAAGATCTTCTGGGAGGCTCCCATGAGTTGCCACCGAACGTTCAGAACAAGCTTTCGGAGGACCGTGTAGGCCTCCCTGGTCGGCGCACCCCCTCCACACATCCCGGCACCGGCGGGGCGTGCGCAGGGGAGTCCAGGGCCGACCGGCCGACCCAAGAAATCCGCGCGGGCCTCTGAGAACTCATACAGGAGATTTGCGTCGTGTCGACCGACGGCAACCCCTCCGCCGGCCTTCAACGTTGAACGCCGCCAGCGACCCAGTATGGGTCGATGCTGAGCGATCTGACGTTTCCGAAACAGCCGATCGTTCGAGGTTGAACGAGCCCCGCGGTGTCAGGAACCAGCGCCAGGGTCGACACGACAGGAACCCGTGGTATTCATGTCTGTCATTGGCCCAGGCACTGACCGCCGCCAGCTCGCACCACACGCAGCCATCGAGCAGGGAGGGGCCGTCGCCGTCCGAGCTGCCCGCCAGCCGCTTCTGGCGCGGCGGGCCCTGCCCGGACCCCGGGTGCCCCAGCTTGGGGTCGATCGGCCATCCTCTCTGCTGCGGGGCACCCTGCAAGTACGTGCGCAACCACGGATGCAAGGAACCGAACAAGAAATAGGCGCACGATTTGGAGCTCCACGCGGAGGTCCTGGATCGGCGCTGGGTCCTCCTGGCCGGCGCCCATGGCGCGCTCCGCACGCAGGGGAGGGAGTCCAGCGCCGATGCGAGAAATTCGCGCGGAGGTTCGAAATGTCATGTTCATGTTGTTTGTTTGTTTGTTTGTTTGTGTGTCTGTCTGTCTGTCTGTCTGTCTGTCTGTCTGTCTGTCTGTCTGTCTGTCTGTCTGTCTGTCTGTCTGTCTGTACTGTATGTCTGCATGTCTGCATGTTTGTTTGTTCGCTTGTTCGTTTGTTCCTGTCAGGAAGGCTACAACTGCAAGAGATGCCATTTCTGCAAGTGGCACCGCTACCACGGCCGGCAGCCTGCCGGCCAGCCAGCGCACGGCTACCAGCTCGAGCCCAGGCAGCACCTGGCACCGGGCACCTGGCACCCGTAAGCACGCGGCCGTCTCTTCGGCGGCACGTGAGAGTGACCCTTCGCTGGAGTGACCTTCCCTGAGATCCTGGCGCTGCACTTTTTTCGAGCCGGGCTTTCTCGCCTTTTGTTCGGGGCCGGGGGACCCTCGCAGATCGATCCAGGGCCCGGGGACCCTCGCAGATCGATCCAGCTTTAAAAATGACGCAGACAGATCAGGTCTGGAGCTCCAGTCGTGGTTTTTCGCGCTGTTGCAAAATTTTCGCAACGTCCAATCTCAGGGTCGGTGCGGGCCCACAGAGGTCCTCCCAGCACTGGGTTGCGCGCTTGGATCTGACCCCCCCCCCGCGGCCTCAGGAAGCCACGCACCGAAGGTCCCTCTTGCCCAGGCTCACTCCTGCGTTGTAGGCGATCTTGGAGCGTCGCCGGAAGCGGCCCTGGCCCAAGGCGGCCCCAGCCTTTCCCAGCAGGCCCAGAGGGCCTGCAGAGCATCCCTCATGAGGCCCATAGGGCTTGCAGGGCATTCCAAGATTGGCGCGAAGGCTGGGGTGCACCCCCGACCAGGGCCACCTCCTGGCAACAGCCGACTAGTTTGGTCTGTGAAGTGTCGACTCTCAGGCCCAGGGGCGAAAAGCTTGGAGAGCCGCCTTCGGCCCCAGGGGGAGGTGCAGTATTTTGGCCTGTGAAGTTTCGAAGATCAGGCCCAGGTCGAGAAGCTTGGAGAGCTGCCCCGACGTCGTCCATAGTTCGGCTTCTGCTACAATTCGATGGTTATGTCTGCGCTGGTTCGGACGCGAGGTGCCGAGGCGAGACTTGGAGAGCCAGCCAAAGATAATCCGATATTAGTTTAATGCATTCCACAACGGTGCCGATTGGTCTTCTGCAGTGATAACTAAGGGCTCTCTCTCTCTCGTTTTCTCTCTCTCTCTCTCTCTATCTCTCTCTCTCTCTCTCTTGGTGAAGGGCAGGCGCACAGGTGTTTCGCTCCAAGTTCTGGCTTCCAAAGAGCTACAGGTGGTGCCAGCTTCAAGGGTTCGGGCCGTGCGCGAGATATTCCGCCCTATTTTGCCCGAGACATCCTCGCAGCTCTGGGCTCCCAGATGTCTCGCGCGAGGTGCGCCGCCCCGTTTCGCCGGAGCGCGCGAGATATTTCGCCTGCTTCGATGAGCAGCTCTGGTCTCCGAGATGCCGCGCGCGAGGTGCTCCAGCCCGCTTCGCCTGAGACATCCTCCAAGATGTGGGCCGCGGCGCGAAGAAGGGGGATGGTCCGAGGGACTCCCCGGCACGTCTGTGGAGTCTGTGGGAAAAGAGGAGAGGATGGAAGACGGGGGGAGGAAGGGGGGGAAATGCCGAGCCTGTTTTCGATCGCATTTATATATTGCCCAATCGAGGTAAATTCAATCACCGCTCGCACAGCGGCGTTTTGCAAGGTGCCCATGACAACGGACAGTTGAGGATCTCAGCGGCTAAACAAAACCGCTGGAATGTGCACGATGTTGGCGAATGCAATGTCGACAGATGTGTGTCGGTTTCAGCTCGACATTGTTTCAAGCTTCCCAGATCTATCGGAGGCCATGGCGGTATTTTGGATGCCCCTGGGCCCTTTTTTCTTGAGCAGCACCAGTGGAACAAATTTGTCCCTGATGCTGCGAGGCCCTTTGCAGCCCAGAGAGGTGGCGGAAGTGGTAGATCCTCTCGAGGTTCAGGGGGCCACCTTCCTTGCGTCTCGGCCTCGCTCTATCCTTGCAAGGCTGATCAGCGCGCCTCAGCGCCCCCTATCGGTGCTTCATAATAGGCAGGAACGAAGAAGGAAAAGGATTTCTGCGAGGAGGGGGAGGATGTGGAGGCAGAGGAGGGGGAGTACGAGCAGCAAGAGGAGAAGCACGATGAGCACGTGCAATGCGACGAGGATAAGGAGGAGCATAGAAGATGAGATGAGGAGGTACAGGAGTTGGAGGAATACGAGGATGGGTAGGAAGCAGGAGAAGATGGGCGAGGAGGAAGAAAAGAACGAGAAAAGAGAAGAGTGTAATGAGGAGGTGTAGGGGGACGGCGCAGAAAGACAATAATGTGACTGGACAGTGTTGGAAAAGCGCACCCAAACTCCAGGGATACCGTGGGCCCGAACTCAGGGCGGCCAGCGGCGTGAGCCATGGCCACCCTCCCACTTTCAAGGGGAAAAAACACCCGAACCCGATAATCGACGTTTACCGAACGGCCTCCGGCGTTTATTACACAGCCCTGCCTTGTGCGATTCCTTCTGTGGGTGCGTTCATTGAACGGCGTCGCGTGTCGGGGTGAGCCTGACGTGGGTGGATTTTCTGTTGTCTACACTTGACAGGGGCGGGAATCCTTCTGGGCATGACTTTCACAACCCAGCAGGCCCCAGCAGCCCCCTCCCCCCTTTCCCCCCCTGGTGGAGCAACCAGGGCCAAAACAAACAGGGCAAGCCGAAGCTTCACAGGAACCGCGATGCCGAAGAAGGCGGGCAGGAAGAGCGGGAGAGGCATGAGGAGGTTGGAAGGGGGGAGAGGGCGGCAGAGGGCGAGAAAGAGGATGAGAAGGAGGACGAGAAGGAGGAAGAGCAGGAGAGGGACGACGACGACAATGGTGCATGCCGATCAAGCGCCGAGCCTAGTTTTGCAAGGGCTCGTGAGGCAGCGGACAGCTGCTGTGAACTCACCCCTGCCTGCACGAGGCCTTGTAGAGATGCGGTGCTGACTTCCTCGTGAAGGCGTGCCGTCTTGTTGCGGCTAGAGTGTCCTCCTGCGACGTACGAGTAGGGAGTGTTGATGGCATGCCTCTCGTTTCCAGGCTTGTGCTGGTTCGGTGTACCAGTGTGCCGCTGGGACGGTTGAGAGTTGAAACACCGTCGCAGGGAGTGGTGCGAACTGATGCGGCATTGCGGGGCCATGTCCCACCAGGGGCCGCGGCGCCTAGTGCGGAGTGTTTGCGCTTCGTCGCGGGCATTTGCCCTGAATGGTTTTCAGGTTAGTCCAGAGGTCTCCTCCTCCTCATCATCCGCATCCTCCTCTTCCTCCTCCTCCTCTTCCTCCTCATCCTCCTCCTCCTGATACCTCCTTGGGCCAAGAAGCGTGAGGCAGAGGGGGTGTGGGCACCTCGTGTCCAGAGTGCGGCAGCGGCGGGAACGAATGACGCGTTGGCCCCACTTTCGCCGCCGTCGCAGGGCAGCAGTGTCCAGTGAGGCGGCCGAGGTTCCTCCGACGCCTCAGGAGCTGCTCTCTGCTCTTCCGGGTGCGGTCCTGCACATCGGCAAGTTTGCCATCGATGGTATCAAGCTGTTCCGCCCTGTCCCTGCGGCCCCGAAGGCGCCTGACGCCAGCCAGGGGTACCAGCGGAAGGTTGCGGCGGAGAAGCGGGCCAAGGCGGCGCTGGACAAGGCAGTCGAGAGCGAGCGCAAGTCCTGCGTGTGGTACCTGGAGAGGAAGGCCGCTGCGGCGGAGGCGGCCCGGGAGCTCGCTCAGGCACATCAGGCTGCTGAGGAGGCGTTGGTGGCTCTCCAGGGGGGGCGCGGGCGCCTGCAGCAGCGGCCGGCGGCGAAGGCATTCAACCTCACCACGCTGCTCGAGAGTGAGGGCGACGCCCCCTTCGATCCAGGCCCCGCCTTCGACGTCAGCGACCTCGAAGTCGACTCCGCTGAGCGCGGGGCGCTCGAACGGCTCCAGCCTCGGTTCGCGGAGGAGCTCAGGACCAATGTCTGGGAGGTTTTCGGTGGTTCGGCCTCGGCGCTGGCCAGCTCAGGGAGGAGGCCAAGCAGATGCAAGAGCGGCTGCAGGGCAAGCGTTAGCGACGAGAGGAGCGACAGAGCGACACCGTCATGGACGAGACACCTGTTGGGGCGCCTGGGCCAGTGGGCAACCGCCCTGCGGCCTCGCCACAGCAGCCTGCACCCGCGCCCGCGCCCGAGGCGCCCAAGGGTTCGACGGGCTCAAGCGCGGCGGACGCGACGCAGGTTGGCAGCGCTCCTGCTGATCCTGCTGCTCGTGCCGACAGCGCTGATGACAAGGTCCAGCGTCTCCTCCAGGCCGCGCGGGCAAGGCAGTCCTCCTAGCGCCAGCGGCCTGCTGGCGCAGGGCAGCAGCTCTGACGGCGAGGTGCGCGGTGGAGGCCCCTGGCTGGCCCAGTGGGCATGGCGCGGCGGATGTCTTGGGCTCGGGCACCATGCGGCGGTTCACGGGGCCCCAGGGGCTAGCGCGAGCTGCCCCTTGCGCGGGAAGGACGGCTTCGCCGTCCGAGGGGACCGCCCGAGCCACGAACACAGCGAGAGGCATGGTCGGTCGTGGAGCCTCACCGTGGCGAGAGGATCGCTGGCATCACGACCACGTTTATGGAAGCACCCCATCGGACCGCGTCCCACGCGTTCTCGATCGTCCTTGCGTGCCTCCAAGTTCTCCGAAGGTCCCTCCGCCGCTCTCGAGGCATCCTGAGTTCCCTATCGCGCCCGAGGAGTTGCTCGGTGGATTTGGCCCCTCTTCCTTCGGAATCCCTGGGCAGCCCTGGCGGAGCTCAAGGCCTCGCCCACGCGACGGCTGCCACTTTGAAACGGCGTCTCGAATGTCGGGGCGCCTCTTAATTTCCTGAGTAGATTGATTGGTCGCCAGCAGCGACGAGAGAACTCGCAGCTGGCAGACGCAAGATCGGCAGGAGAGCGCGCGCGGCCGATCCCTAGATATTGGAGTTCATGCGCTCGGAAAGATGCACGCGGGCGAACGAAACGCGCGCGTTTCCCACGCCCGCCTCGCCGATGCAGGGCGGCGATCCTTCAGGGCGAGAGCCCGCGAGGCCGAGACTGGCGACGAGCCCGAGCGCCGCAGGAAAGCCCATCTGCAGCGTCACTCCCGCCACGCTGCTGCCCGGGGCACAAAGTGGGGGGGGGCAGTCCGTCGGCCATCGCGGACCCCATTGGTCACCGCGTCACTGATCTGGAGGACGCTTGAAAGTATCTAGCCGAGCACCAGCTGGGCACCAGGGCCGAGCTCACGGGGGGGGGGACTTCGCTGG